GTGCGTCACTTACTCTAAATCATTGTCCACTGGATAATATGTATTTCTACTGAACGGAAAGTCTTCTTCAGGACCATATCCTATACGTATTATGTATATATCTTCATTTATTTTTATGTATGGGATAGACAATTTCTAATTGACCCGTTTTATAGCAGAGTCTTTCTCGACCAGACGAAAAAAAAAGAGAGTCTCCCAGCTAACAACTCACTGGACCAATACAGTGGTCAATAAATTGTTGTTGTTTTCTTTTCATAGGTATAACCATGGGGTTGATACAGGGCAACTTGTCGTTCTTCCTGTTCATTTTAATACTTGGTCTCACTGGATTGCGCCTAGTGCCAGGCAAACTTCGTGCCTTTTTCTTTCCCTGTCTGAGATTTAATGACGTCATGCCATTACCCATGATACATAGAAAAACGAAATGAGAATGTTCGAATTTGGCACATGCCGTGTAAAATTACGGGAGGTTGTCCTTCATTTGTTGTGAATTAGAATATATGCTTCCAAATAATAATTGGCACAATGGTATATAAAGGCTTGGACAATGACAAATGCATATTAATTTGCGTTTCTTATACATACATGCATATATATATATATATATATATATATATATATATATATATATATATATATATATGTTAGTAGCATGTAGAATCCGAACAAAATTGGAGAAATGAGATACAGTACAAAAAAACGATTCGCCTTCGTGTGTTATGTAGGCGACAGTTTAGAAAGAAAGATAAACTGCGTGTTTTTATATTAAAACCGACAATGTCTATATGCTAGATTGGCGTCTTGCGGTCAGAATAACAGAACAAAACTGCACGTTTTTCTTCTTTTTTTTAATTTATTTTTATTTTTTTTTATTTTTTGTCTTTTTATATTAAAGCCGTTAATGCCTGTTTGCTTGGTAGGTAGGCGGCTTCCGAACGGAATTCTACACACACACACACACACACATATAAATATATATGTGTGTGTGTTTGTGTATGCGCGTGTGTGTATGTGTGTATGTGTATGTGTGTGTGTGTGTATTCAGGCAGCAGTCCTTCTTTCATGTTTATTTCATTGAATACAAAAGACAAGGTGCCTTGATTTAGTTGTTTTTTTTTATATACCATTTCTCATGCGATGTAATATTTTTTTCTTTTCAGATGATAAATTATATAAAAACTGCCCGAATGTTATTTTTTCTGAGCGCTTACAGCTATACATTTAGCTATTATCAATGATGAAATACTTTAACTGTTAAATAAGAAAAAGTTTGTTGAATGTATTATATATATATATAATATTTTCATTTTTCAAAACACGGTCAAGATATTGTGTCCATGTTCATAATTAATATCATTAAGTGGTCGTTCTTTTGTTTTCATTACTAAGGCTTCCATTACTTTTAGCCTTTTCGGCATGTAGATGATGTTGTTATATGTGTTGTCAACAAGATTGTTACGAATAGTGCCCTATAGGTCTCCATAAATACTTAAATGAGATCTAATTGAGCTATGGTCAGAAAGGTGTAGAGTGAGTCGGCGTGTCAGACATATATATATATATATATATATATATATATATATATTGATGCATCTCATTAAATAATATAGACAAGTTTTGTCTATTTATTTTAAGTAAGCTCCTTTCATATTGTCTGATAAGTTTAATAACATTATCATTGAAAGATGAAAAGAAATCACCATATTATACATGTTTAAATCCAATCTAAGCTTTAGGCTTGAATAAGCCATAATCAAAGATGACAATTACTTTTCAATATATCAACCAATACACGGACGAAACAATAATGATAGTTTGTTTTTGTTGCATGAAAAATTTCAAAGTAACGACTAATGAAACATGCATCAATGAAAAATTGCTGCCTAAATATACACAATATATATGTATATATATATATATATATATATATATATATATATATATATTATAAATTAATTGATTTAAAATATGGTTTAAATCAATTAATTTATAATATTATGGTTTAAATTTAATTTATAATATTATGGTTTAAATTAATTTATAATATTATGGTTTAAATCAATTAATTTATAAAATTAATGCTCTGTAAATTTACATTTTGTAAAAATATCTATAAGAATACCTGATGATATATCTTACTGTTCTTTATATATATATATATATCAACATTGCTTAAGAAAGACTCTCGCCGGCCGCTCTCTCTGTAATAGACAGATAGAGAGAGAAGTGGAAGGAAGAGATGGGATTATATTGATCATCCTAGTGTCTTTTTTTGTATCAAATAGAAACAGAAAGTTTGATTTTAAATTTATTATTCCTTTCTGTATTATATTTCTTTATAATCGCATCTATTCTGTTTTATAATTATTTTAATTTGCGAAATTAAATAATAATGTGAGTCGATGAATTAATATTTTAAATTAAATTTACATTATTCGCTCAAAAATGAATACACTCCAATGTAGATAATTACATTTTTTCCAGAATTTGTATTTATTTATCGGATTGTTTACAAATTGATTTCTAAATGATCAGAGACTATTTGAGACTCTGTTTTCTATAATATGAGATATACAAAAATCTCTGGGAATATATACTTGTAGGTATTTTTTTTAATGTTGACGAAATATACTGGAAAGATAAAGAAATGTGTATGATGCATTATTCCTCGAACAGTAATTACATGATATTCTAATAATAAATGGAAGTTATATAAAATATTTGAATATATATATATATATATATATATAGACTGTTGGACGGTAATTGAACTTGAGAGATTTTTACCACAAAATAAGAAAAAACTCCATACCAGTGATTATCAAGCCGTATTTGCTAAGAGCAAATAATATCATTTTTTGATCAAAAGTAAGAATGCTTTTAATATATGCATGACAGTTTCAAATTCTATATATTTTCAATGTATAATAATCAGTATGTTGATTCGAAAAGGGTTGCAGATAGTAAATGTATAATTGAATGGGCAAGGCAATTCATTGGGAAAGGTGCAAATGACGCTGGTTTGCCATGGAAACCACGACATCAAAATCTAAAAAAAATAATCAAAAAGAAAAACTAAATAATGTTATTGTAAAAAAAAAAGAAGATATATTGAAATAGAAGCGTGAAACCCAAATCATGCTCTTGTAAAGAAATAGAATACCTTTTGAAATTTAAATAAATCATAGAACTCAGGTGGGGAAACCGGAGAAAGTTCTGGTATCGAAGGAAAATTAAAATTTAAGCGGATGTAGTAAACGAAGCGAGAAAATTAAAAAGAAGGCATTGAAAAATAAAATATTTGAAATGTGAACATATAAAGACGAAGACATCTTGAAAATTTAAACATGTAAAAAAAAAGATGTTTCCGTTATAGTGGATCAAAAACTCTGAACTAGAAAATAAGACCAAGTTCATGCAAAGATGGAGATGGCATTAAAATTGAAATTGATCACTTCTAAATAAGAAGACATTTTGGATTTTGTATCATGATTAACTGAAAGACGCGGGAAAGATATAAAGATGAAGACGACATTTTGAAACCTAATCGGCTCACCTACTCCGAGTTAAACGGCCAAATCAAATCCTTGTAAAGAAAGCAAAAAACATTTTATTTCAGATATGGGGAACACTCTTTCAGTAGTCAATAGCATAACAATTTCAAATAGGTTAAAACTCCTTAAATACTTACAAATTACAATAAACACTGGAAACTGAAATTAGCAGTAGTACCGAGCATTATTGGCAAACTGTGAACATTTGCGAAGTAACCTGAAGTCGGAAAGTTAGAAATTCATTGAAATAAATGAAACATCAAGATGATAGTTTTACTAAACTGACCATGAATACTGAGGACGGTAATACAGTATTTAAAATAATTGTTGCTATTTAGTCACCATTAAAGCTGGTACTTGGCTGAATACGAAAAGCGAGAGCAATATCTAAAAGGTCAGCCAATCTAACGGTAACCTCATCTCACAATTCTCACACTTGATCCATACGCCGTCTCCTTTGCAAATCACTTCGGTTTCGATGATTTGACAACTTAACCAATTGATTCAGTTATGTATTTTGGCTATAATCTTAAGTGGTACTTAAGACCCGCAAGTGATTTGCAAACGAGACGGCGTATGCATCAAGTGTGAAAATTGGGAGATGGGGTTACCGTTAGATTGGCTGACCTTTTAGATCTTGCTCTCGCTTCTTGAAGACGATTCGGACGAGCAGATTGAAAACTGCTGAGTTTACTAAAACACATTGTTCTCCGCTCTACCAGCCCCAAGCACATTGATCTTCACTCTACCCACCCCTAAGCGCTCGTGGCTGTTATGGGAATATTGACAATTTGCTCTTCAGCTTGTCTTTGTATCTAAGCCATGAGCGTCCCACATTCCTGTAGCCCTGATCCAACTGGCTGTACATTAGGATGTTGTATATCCTGTCATCAGAAATTCTCTCTCTCACACACACACACACACACACACACACACACACACACACACATATATATATATATATATATATATATATATATATATATATATATATATATATCCCATCATCAGACATTCTCATATATATTCTCATATATATACACACATACACACATATAGTATTTCGGAATGTTTTCTACTTCTTTTTCTATTGTCTCTATCAAAATAATGAGTCTGGCACAAGATCCCGATATAGAAGTTCCTAGCGAATGTCTTATTTTATCAATGATACATAAAGTAAGCTTTCCATCTAATTTATCAAGCTTAATTTTTTTTATTTACATTTCATAGGGTTGTGTGAGACTTAACGGAAAATATTTACTAAATCAGATCTATCCCGATAGGAGAGTAAGGGTTGGGGGCAACTGAGAGGAAAAAAGGCTCCAAACTAATCACTTTTGGTAAGTGGCTTTTCCTAATCAGTGGTCGACATTAGGCGCCGTCTAGATTTTATGGATGTTTTCCGATTTACAAAAAGAAAGAGAAATGGTAACTTAGATTAAATATTCATGCGTAGGAAGAAATTAAAAAAATGATAGAAAGATATGGAAGAAGGCGGAAAGAATGATAGAGAATAAGAAATGCGGAGATAAAATGAGAGATAAGGGGGGGCAGAAAAATTATAGTAACATTCAGAGGAGATAAAAGATTGCAGAGACGGGAACAAAAGAGAAAGGGAAGAAAAAGGAATGAGGCAGATAAACTAATATTGAAAAGGGGAGGAGAAAGACAGAGGGAATGAGGCGGACACAGAGAGAGAGAGACAGAAAGGAAATGAAAGGAGATAGAAACAGTAATAGTAGCACAGAGAGGATATAGAAAGTGTTGGAAGGGGGAAAGATGTAAAGGAACACGAGAATAGAACAAGGCTGAAAGATTGATAGTGGCTGATAGAGAATGATAAAGAAAATAGAAAAAAATGGAAAGAGGCAGACACGGATAGATAGATAGATAGATAGATAGATAGATAGATAGATAGATAGATAGATAGATGAAATAACTCGGATAGATAGATAGATAGATAGATAGATAGAGAGAGAGAGAGAGAGAGAGAGAGAGAGAGATGGAATGACGCAGAGATGATAATGGCACAGAGAGGAGATCAAATGTGATGGAAGGAGGCATAGACGGAGAGAGAAGAGAATATTGAATGAGACAGAAGAGAGAAAGAGAGAGAGAGAGAGAGAGAGAAAACGAGATTGAATTTTTCAGGAAAGCAACAGAAAGAAGAGATCTAATGAAGTAGAGAGACTGATAATGCTTAGAGAAAAAGAAATAGGAGGATGTAGAAAGACCGCTACAAACAAATAGAAAGAAAAACAGAGACAAAAAGACTGATGAGTGCAAATGGAAAGATAGAGTGTGCTAAGAGAGAGAGAGAAAGAGAAAGAGAGAGAAAGAGAAAGAGAAAGAGAGAGAGAGAGAGAGACGAACAAAATGTAACAGAAACAATTTCGAGAGTATACTTCAAAAACAATTGCAAGGAAAAACTCAAGTCTAAATCAGAAAATGAAAACAAGGAATTGATAAAAAATAAAATAATATTTCCTATTTCAAGCATTCAATTAATGGTAAGAAAATACGTTTTTTTTATTGTTTTTGAATTCATTTTGTGTACAAAAAATAAATCTATTATTAGCAAAATGGGGAAATTCTTCTTCATGTAAAAAGAAAATACGATTTTTTTCTACTTTTCTCTTTTCTTTTCGAAATAACAATGCTAAATGAAGGGCTAATATATATTTAGTTCAACGTTTTTCAGTTTGCAAACTCATAGCCTTTATGTCCATATACTTTACTTGCTTTCTGTAACCTAATTTTGGCGATGTGGGCTTGATTTTAGCGTGGCTGATGAGGCCTATTTTGAGTTTGCTTTCCATTTTGATGCGTAGAAAAAGAATAAAAGCCTCGTGTCTCAAGCCACATGTTTCTATTGAAAGAAAAGAAATCTCAGTTAATTCCATTTGTAAAATGTTCGAACCAGCAGTAACGTGTGGCTTACACGGGAGATTAAATAACAACACGTCTGTTTATTACTCACGCATCTCTTCTCAATATTCTAGCTGTTTTTTGAAATGCAATCATCTGGTTGATCCCAACTATATACATACTTCATTACAGTGCTCCGATGACTGGCACGACTGTCAGGTTTATGTCCTACAATTTTATCATCATTCTTACAGGGGAGAGATACTTATATGTCTTTCGGTTTAAATTCAGAACCAGTTTATTGGAATAGCGAAATCCATTCTCCGTTTACTTCTGTTTCCTCTTACCGAATCCCACCTTGAAATAAGTGTGGAGTCCATTTGAATCAAGAAAATCAGTGAATTTGTTTCATTTTTTAGGGCAGTTTCTGATCTATGTATATACCATTTGTATATGGGCTCACCATTGTATCAGCTGCGTTAAGCACTCATGCTAATTCTTGTTTTGAGATAATTTGTTACATTCAATTTTAGTTGCACACATTTATTTTTGAGCTGAATTTTTTTTTTTTTTTTTTTTTTATAGAGTCGGTTGTTATGGGGATCAGTTTCTCGTTTCAGGTTTATCAAAATAAGAAACGGCTAACCAAATAAGGAAAGGTTAATCAAATTTGGATTAACCTTTCCTTGTTTTGATTATCCTTTCCTTATTTGGATTAGCGTTTCTTTATTTTCATTATCCTTTCCTTACTTATATTAACTTTCCTTTATTTTCATTATCAATTCCTTACTTTGAATATTCTTTCTTTCATTGGATTAGACGTTCCATATTTTGATTATCCTTTCCTTATTTGGATTAGCGTTCATTAGTTTCATTATCCTTTCCTTATTTGGATTAGCGTTTCTTTATTTTCATTATCCTTTCCTTACTTGTATTAGCTTTCCTTTATTTTGATTATCAATTCCTTACTTTGAATATTCTTTCTTTCATTGGATTAGCCGTTCCATATTTCGATTATCGCGTCCATATTTTGATTATCCTTTTCTTATTTGGATTAGCCTTTCTTTATTTTGATTATCCTTTTCTGGTTTTGATTATCCTTTCCGTATTTGGATTAGTCGTTCCTTACTTTGATTATCTTTTTTATCATTTCATTCCTTATTTTGATTATCCTCTCCTTATTATCAGGCGCAGTAGCCCTTCTACTAGACCGTCTTATAACACAGATTCCTCCACATAATCTCTCTTGTGGAGTACCTAATATGTTTTAAGAACATTTTTTTTGCCTGTTGATTCGGATTTGTAAGTTATTCTATTATCCAATTTAAAAAGTGTTCAGAATAATTCATAAATTAAAATATCAAGGTGTTTGTTTGTATTAAATTTATGGTACACTATCTGATCTTTGATTTGATATTTTTTTGTTGTACGGAACTATTCATAACAGATATTTTAATTATGCATAAAAAAAATTAAAAGAATTTAAAAACATCCCTCAAACGTGAAAATCTTTTGTTCGATTTAGGATAAGAGACGGTAAATGAATGAGGGTTTTAAAGGATATCCAATATGTTTAGCAAAATGCAAAACATACTGGATATTTCCACTAAGTATAAATTAACAGATCAATAGCTCAGTTATGTTTGCACTCAAAGTATGAATTCCGAATAAATGATAACACGACACTTGGACCCTCATTACATTACATTACATTTCATTTAATCCAATAGTTTCGTCTGTGATTTTTCGGACAATTTCAGGTATGTGTCCCTACTTCCCTGGTGCTATACACTGGCCTTACATTCAGAGACTGACTAGGTTAGTTGTTTAAATACGTTGTGTGTCGTGTCATAGTGTTGAAAGACACATCATGGTAGGTAATCTGCTCTCCCCTATCATTACCTTTATATATTAATATTCCTTGAGTTTTTAACTCAGTATATAAAGATGTATACAAAAATAAAAGCAGAGGTAAAAGTGAAAGCGCAAACTTGAGAGAAAATATGGTGTAAAACAACAAAATAATCCATTTGAACGGACAATGGACACGAATAAGGAAAAATGGCTACTGCAAATAAATATAAAGAAACCGAAATTTCGTTCATATATCTATGCATCTAAGATAAATAGAAACAGATAGATTGACAGGAAATGTGTGATTAGCTAGCTAATCTTGAGTATATATAAATTATAGAGAACTATTGGTCTATATAGAGTGGAATTTATAATTAATTTATTGATAATTGGGCAGTTTTGAGTGTATTTAATATACAGCTATTAGTACATATAGAGTGGAATTTATAGATAATTCGTCTATTCAAAGACTGATCAAAAAGAGGCTAGTGCTATAAAAAGAAAACTCCAACATATATCTATTCGGCATTTCATCTCCTTCAATGTAGTCCACTTCTGAAGTCACACAATTTATCTAACATCGATCGATGGAAATATTCCTAGAATTCCTTTTTGGGATTTCGAGAAAATGGTTCGTTGCAGCCCCTTGGAATGTCGCAACGACTTTAAATCTTGTTCCTCTCAAATGGGATGTGATTTTGGAAAAAAAAAACATGGCAAGGGGTGAGATCTGGGGAATATGATGGTTGCTGAAGCTAGGGAATGCTGTTCTTAGCCAAAAACTGCTGCAAAAGTCACAGTCACTGATGGAAGGTATGTAGTGTGGTGAGACGCCCACACTCTGCACACTTTCTTTCCAAGCACTGCAATAAACAATGAAAGCGACTGAGAACGTTATAATTTAATATGCATAGAGGAGAGTGTCAAAGATCAATGTGTGCATGCGGCATTACTTTGTGTACGTTAGCTCCATTATCATAGCAAGAGTCCCGATACTTTTTGCTCAGAACTTTTTCGGGGTGGACCTTACAGACAATTTATCGATAGCTCGTCGATATATAATGGAATCTATAGATAATTATTGGTCTATATAGAGTGAGACATCGGCCGATTGCTCAAACACAATGAAATGTTGTTCGATCTTTTTAAATGCATATAAATATATAATGAATATGAACATGGAACTTAGAGATTTATCTGAAGCTGCATATTTCTTTTAAACTTTTGAAGTTCAATTTATCGGATAAAAAGGTCAGGTAAAAAGTTAAAAATTTCTCGCACGACGAAACTAGACAATGAAATAAAAAAAAAATATGTGTAATGATGAAAAATATTGGTGCCCGGAAGTTCAAATAAAGCTTAAAGTTCATGCGAGTTGTCTGAAACAGTGAGGTAATGTACCATTTATTTGATGAATTATTCACAATTGTATACACCTGAGGAAGACTGCAGTGCCAAGTGGTCGAAATATGATTTACTGCAAACAAGATTTTTTGTTCTCAAGTGGATAAAGTTAAGACCTTTTGGATATGCCATGAATTTTGTAATCTCTATACACGATAGTGCAAAACTCCAGAAGCACAATGGAACATTGCTCTCTCGACAACATTGGTTCAAAAGTTTGCTGCCCAAAATTTGTGATACATTCATAGATATTGCAATGATTGTCTCTCTCTCAAATGTAACATCTATTTACTATTTATCTATTTATTCTTTTCCTAATTTGTAAGTCATTTGATGACAAAGCAAATGCTGTTTGTAATACTCTTCAAATTATTGATACTAAAATACATATCATTGTTTTTTAATAACAGATAAGGAAACATTTTAAACATTTATGAAGCTCAATTATTTAAAAGTGTAAAATGTTAACGCGGGAGAAATAATGAAAAAGTGGCAGAGATACGGAAGATAATTTGTTGCTTCCTATTAACCGAAGTTGGAATTCCAAAATAGACACACAAATCAGGTAAATAAAGAATTACACCAAAAGATAACACACACACACACACACACACACACACACACACACACACACACACATATATATATATATATATATATATATATATATATATATATTTGGTTGGATTGATGTGAGTTTGTGACCCTGGGTTTCACGCTTTTGCGATCGTCAGGGTTTGTCTGACCTTAAAGGTATTTTTGATATATCCTGTATATATATGTCTGGCCGTAAAGGTATTTTTGATATATCCTGTATATATATATATATATATATATATATATATATATATATATATATAGATATATCAAAAATACCTTTACAAATAATTACCATTCCGGCAACGGTATTTACAAATCATATCTGCTGGCTCACGATTTGAATATCTTGCCATTGTTAAACGGAACACATCTCAGTTAACGCACTCCTACACGCGTTAAACGTCGAAAACGTTCTAGCCACAAACGTACACGGATAAATTTACACCATAAATTTATTCTTACTTTATAACTCAAAAACAAAGGATTTGTGAACATATGTTTATGTAGACACTTGTCCTTGTTTTATTGTCCCCAACGTTTGTAAAAGGATTTTTGATGCACAACGTATATATATATATATGTGTGTGAGTATGTATATATATATATATATATATATATATATATATATATATATATATATATATATATATATATATATATGTGCATGTATACATATATGAAGAAATGTACTCTTATGTGTATGTATATATATATATTTGTATATATATATATATATATATATATATATATATATATATATATATATATATATATATATATATATATATATATATATATATATATATATGTGTGTGTATATATATACATGGCCATCATCAGGAAAGGAAAAAATTTCTGCTTGCTGGTAGCAATGAACTAAGGAAATGAATGTCTTGATGGAGAAAATGAACTTTTGTCTGTAGTTTTCGATTGTTTTTTTTTTGTATTTAACATTCCTTGTGTTGGTCAAACAGTCTCTTTTAAGTTGTTATTTGAGATAAGAGCTAGATGGACCTATGCCGCTCTGAATTACCCTGGTCAGTTTGACAGTTTTATTGGTTCCTGGAGAGGGGATGTGTCTCTTTTAAGTGTGTGTGTGTGTTTGTACTATTTGGTTCTTAGAGAGTGAGTGAGTATGATATGTGTCAGCGTGTGTATATTGCTGTGGGTGTGTGTTATCATTTGGCTCATTAGAGATCGACTGAGTATGATGTGTGTAATTGTGTATGTTCGTGTGGGTGTGTTTATTAGTGTGAGGCCTCCGTAAGCATGTCTGTCTTGTGTAGGGGAGAAATGTGGGTAGGTTTTGATTTGTAGGGTTATATATTAATACTATCTATATTGTTAAATTTATGGTTTAGCCCGGCTGGATAGTGTGATTTTAAACGTTGTATGCACTTATTTTCATGGAACTCTAAAATCGTTCTAATGATATCTGCTCTGAACTTTTCTATTCTCTCAATTATAGTGAATTAGGCATGGGTTTTGAAATCGTGTTTCCCTATGTTTTCCTAATGTTGTTCTACAGGTAATAATTTTTCATGGGGAGTCGACTTAATTCAATTGCGATAATTATTAATTCTGTAGTGAAAGGGCCATTCAGATTTTCTTACATATTGTTTCTGGCATCTGTGCATTCTAGGAAGTAAATTATGTTATGACTTCTACAGTTAGAATCGTCGTAGATTTTGAAAGTAGATTTAGTGACTGACCTAGTGAATGAATTCGTGGGTTTAATGTGGTTGCAGCATAAACGTCTTTTGTTGTTACATGGTTGGGAAAATCCTGTTGTTTTTGTTGTTAGTTTTTTACGGATTACCTTGACCCCTGAAATGTTGTTACTACGTATGATTTCTTTTAGGTTCTTAGGTCTACGATATGCAAGAAGGCCGGGTTCCTTAAACAGTTTTTTTAGGTCTGGTTTGGGATGTAGTATTTCTCAGCGACGTTTGATTATTTGGGATAGTAGAGGCAGAGTGGGATTGAAAGTGGTTACTAGAGGAATGCGGCTAGATTTATTTTTAATCTTGTACATTAGGGTGTCTTCTCTAGGTGTGGAAATTGCTTTATTTATTTGTTCCCTGATTAGGTGTTGTTTATAGCCACGTGTTGTGAATTGATGCTCCAGATTTTCAATGTGTTTATTTAATTCTTCATTGTTGGAACATATCCTTCTGAGTCAAGTGCTTGTGAATAGGGAAGGTTCTCCTTGAGGTGTTTAGGGTGGGAAGACTTAAAGTGTAGATAGTTGTGGGTGTCGGTGATTTTAGTGTGTAGTGTCGTTTGTAGTTTCCTGTTTTTATCTATGTTTAGATTTCATTATCTTTCCCTAAAGATAAAGAATTATCCGATGTTTGGATTCGTACAATCAGTAGAGATCGTTAGATTATTGTTTAAGGTTGGCGGACACGCATGTCTT